CTCCATCTCATGAACCGAACCGTGGGATCATGACCTGAGGTGAGATCAAGAGTCAGAAGTTGAACTGACTGAGCCAGCACGGCGCCCTGATGATCAGTCTTGATGCAAGTATGAGTCATGGGTGCAAACTCAGGTGTGCAGGAAATAGCACCTTTTCCCTAAAGTCAGTTCTCACTTTGAGCCTCCAATATCTTCAGCGGATGGAAAACAGTCTTTTCAGGTATTACTCTGCTCTCATTAGGATTAGGAGGGAATTCTGTTCCTGTTCCTCAGTTTTCTCATCTGTAAAATGGGGATAGTGATAGTACACACCTCAACGAGCTGGGTTAAAAATGGCAAAATATTTACGATATCGCCTGGCAGGCAGTATTGGCTCTTCTTGTCATTATTATTACTTCAAAGATAGATGCACAGAGAAGGCACCAAACTTATCATGGGGTTATCAAGGAAGGCTCCCTGGACGAGGTGATGCAAACACAGTCTGGAACTCCTCTGCTTGGATATTTATCAAGGTCTAGAAGTTTAATATACCCCTAACAAGTGTGCTCATTTTAGAGAACGTGGGAAACATCGAAAAATACAAAGAAGGAAATGTAAAATAGCTATAACCTTATGCTTCCAGTGATTTCATTCTGGATTACATTTTTATTTTATTTACTCACACATTTATTTTATTTATTTTGTTTTTAAATGTTTGTTTATTTTTGAGAGAGAAAGAGACAGAGCATGAGCATGGGAGGGGCAGAGAGAGAGGGGGCGGGCCACAGAATCTGAAGCGGGCTCCAGGGTCTGAGCTGTCAGTACAGAGCCTGATGTGGGGCTTGAACCCATGAACTGCAAGACTGTGACCTGGGCCAAAGTTGTACACTTAACCAACTGAGCCACTCAGGTGCCCCTAGATTACTTTTTAAAGTTTATTTATTTGAAAGAGAGAGAGTGAGTGTGACTGGGGTAGGGGCAGAGAGAGAGAGAGGGTGAAAGAGAGAGAATTCCAAGCAGGCTCTGCCCTGTCAGCACAGATGGGGCTCGAACTCATGAGCTGTGAGATCATGACCTGAGCTGAAACCAAGAGCCAGAGAAGCTTAACCGACTGAGCTACCCAGGTGCCCCTTTTCTAGATTACTTTTATTTCTATCTTTAAAAAGCATTAATTGTTACACTGTATATACAGTGTATGCCTGGCTAGAAAAGTGTTTATTCCTAGAAAAGTACTTATGTATTTATAGAAGATAAAATTCTGGATGGGGAAAAATATACCCTGAAATTATTAACAATGGTTATCTTTGCAGGGATGAGATTATGGGTGATTTTTCTTGTGTGTGTGTGTTGGGGGAGGGTTTGTAATCTGTAATATTTCCTTTTCTCCCATGACTATGTATTATTTAGTAAAATTAAAAAATTTTAAACTATTTATTTTTGGGAGAGGGAGATGGAGAGTGTGAGCCTTGGAGGGGCAGAGAGAGAGGGAGACAGAATCTGAAGCAGACTCCAGGCTTCGTGCTGACAGCACAGAGCCTGACTCAGGGCTCAAACCCATGAACTGTGAGATCATGGCCTGAACCAAAGTTGGACGCTCAACTGACTGAGCCACCCAGGCGCCCCTGATTTTAAAATTTAATACACAGAACTAGGCAACCTCAACCTCAGGGTCTTATAACAATTATACTTTCGGGTCCTGGAGGAGAGTGGTGTGGCCGGGCCAGACTTTGAACCCTGAACCCTTTACTCTGAGAGGCTATGTGTGGCCTCGAGTATGGTGGGGAAGGGCCTGTCATGAGGCAGGAGGACATAAGGCTTCACTAGAAATCTGTGGGGGGCATGTCAGGTTGAGTCCTGGGCTGTCGTTAACGCAGAGTAAGCAATAACAAAAATTACTATCATGGACTATTATTGCAGCCGTGTCCCGGTGGCACTATCAGATGCTATGAACCCTGGGAAACCGAGACAAAGCTGAGTTTGGGGGTGTGGGGTGCCGCCCGTGACTAGTGCCGAAGATGCCTTAGGAATGCCAAGCTGCTCCCCCCACCATTTTGCACAGGCTTCTCTGTCCTTTGCCTGGACCATTGCAGTAGGCTGTGAATGGGTCTCTGCCCCCGTAGGCAGCCCACCTTTCCCGCCGCCAAGGCCCGTCCTTCAGGCCTGTGCAGGTGAGGCCCATCTGTCGCTTCTCTGCTGGGTGAATTTCCTGATCTTTCCAACTTGTTGCAGGCACACTGGGCCGGCACGCCTGTATCCCTGTCTGTCAGCCCCAGGCGCTCCTCAGGAGCCTGGCTGGGACCGATTTGCTTTTCTTCTGGGCGCCTGGCAGCCGGTGGTGTGGCGGGATGTAGGTCTCCGTTTGGTGACTGAGCGAATGAACTCTGGCCAAGGCCTTGCAGACATCAGGCCAAGAGAACAGAGTGGGGGGCGGGGTGTGTGGCCCAAGCAGCTGCCACCCATCAGGACACCAGCGAGGCCGCAGCTGTTTCCAGCGGTTGGCATGGGCACAATGGAAGGTTCGCCCCAGAAAGCTGGGCCTATGGCTGATCCGCTCCCCTTGGCCTGACGGCTTCCTCCAGGCCAGGCTCGGGACAGGCTTTCTCCGCGGGTGAATATAAATACATAAAACGGCACGTGTTTAGCTGCAAAACTAAAAATAGGAAGCCTGGAATCGGGGGCCCCCCCTCAGGCTCCTGGAGCCGCCGGACCACACAGGTGTGCATGCGGATGTTGGGGGGTGTGGCCCCGCCCCTCTCACAGGGAGGAATGGGGGACACTTGGGGTTTCCGCAAGGAAAAGTTCATTCTTTCACTCTGGCCGCCCCCCCCCATTTGTTGGACAACTCATTTCATTTATGGCCCCAAAATGAACCAACTCATCGAAGGTGCCATTCCCCGCTCACGAGGCAGAGCAGGCGGGTGTCCCATGTGGCTGGGAGCCTCCCCAGGGCCATGCTGAGGGCACATGGGTGCCTGTGTTTATGGGGTCTGCGCCCAGCCCTGCCGGACCCCAGAACACCCATGATGGCCCCACAGCTGTCTCCTGGGACCGCGGGCACATGTCACTCTCTCTGGCTCCATAAAACCCCTCCAGGACGCCTGTCTCCCAGAATAAAGGCCAAAGCCATGCCTGTGGCCAGAAGCCTGGTGGTTGCAGAGCTGCCCTGAGGTGGGGGTGCTCTGCCTGGGGGCCACGTCACCCCTCAGGTGGTGCCAAGCGCAGCCCCGTGCCCAGGAGGCCACTCCCAAGGCCCGCTGCAGGCTGTGGGGCAGCCGTGGGGCTGGTGGGACCGTGGAATTCTGTAGGCCAGACTCTGGGACAAAATGGCCTCCTCAAGCTGGACAGGCCACTTCACGTTCTAAGCTCCTGATGGTGCCTCAGGGGAGGTGGGGGCACCTGGTCGGGGCTCCAGGACGCTGGGGCTGCTAACTGGGTTTGTCAACCTTTCCTTCAAGCTGCGTAAACCCCTGTCCCGAAGCAGGGCCTTTAGGTATATTGGGACCTGTGATTCCACTGTGCACTGGACACAGTGTGTGCTCAGGTTTGAATTTTAGAAAAAGGAAGCTCAGAGAGGGACAGGGACCTCCCACTGCCACACAGCTAAAGGGGGAAAGCAAATCCTTCCTCCAGCCGACACATCCCCCAGGCCCTTGTGAAGACGGACCCTCCAAGGTTAGGAAGCTCCTTGGAACAACTACCTTGAGGGGACCATCTGCTGCCACCTGCAGGCCACTGTGGTCACTGCAGTGCTTCCCGCACAGCCCTCAAACCCTGGGACCTGGGGGTAGTGGGGTTGAGTCCAGGACTTCTTCTTGCCTCAGTTTCCCACCTGGGTGCACTGGTCTGTGCCTGCCGGGTGGAGGTGTGGAGCTTTGTGTCAGGGGCGCCGGAGGATCAGCCGTGGCACCAGTGTGGCTGCCGGGGAGGGGCTTGAGCCGTGGTCCCTCATAATCTCCATCATTTCCTACAAAGTGACCCAAATAAGCACATCTATGGAAGCAGAGTGTTGGCCTGTAGACGCTGCTTCAGGCCCAGCCCTGTCCACCCTGGGACAGACGCTGCTGGGGGCACACTCACGCAGAAATTCTGCAGCGGTGGCTGGGGCCGCTGGGAGACGGACCTGTCGCCCCCTGGAGCCCAAGTGGGTGCTGCAAGGGGCTGGGATCAAGGGTTTAGGTCGAGGAAATGGAAACTTCCTGTCGGGTGTTGGGTTTGGGGCCGACCAACCTAACGGGACAAAGTCTTGGGATTAGTGTTGAAGTTATTTCCATTAGAAAATAAGGTCGGTTTTATGAAAACTCCCCTCCCCAAGCCTCAACTGGACGGGAAGGGTCTGTCAGGCCCTTTTGCTGGCAGGGACCAAGTCAGGTCCACAGGCAGTCACCCCCTCAGGCCCCAGCATCAGCCACAAACAACTCTGGGGAGCTGCAGAGCCAGATGACACCCCTCTTTGCACCTTAATTGCACCATCTGCAAACTGGGGGAGCTGGTGCAACAGCTTGCTTTGTAGCTGTGATTGCTGTTAAACTGCCCCCCTTCCGGCAGACACAGGTCCCTGAGCGGCCTCTCACCGAGGCTGCTCTACCCCCCTCCACCCCGCCCCCGCCCCACCCTGGGGAGCGATAGCTACATGGGGTGCACCGCTTCTTCGCTTGTGAAAAGTCATGGGCCACTTGTGAGGGGGGAAGAGGTGGTGGCATCTTGAAGACCTGATGTCCCCCTGGGGTTTCAGCCATACCAGGAGGAGGCCTCACCAGCTGCACTCACCCAGGGTGGTCTCCAGGGTCATTGCCAATGGAGCTGGATATAGGGAGGCCAAGGTGCCCGGAGGGGAAGGGGGGGTCTCCAAGGCAGTGGGTTTAGTCCCATTCCTGTCCCCAGGCCCTGCCCTGTTCCTCCTTGGCCGCAGTGGGAGGGGCCCCCACCCCCCGCCCCCATACACGCAGCCCCAGAAGTCTGGCATTGGGATCCTTCAACGCATCTCAGAGTTATATTATTGTAACAAATCAGTCAAAATTCCATTTTACAGTTAAATAGTACAGAAGACAGACAGTTTACTGTACAAGCAAGTTGTGCATTGAAAACAAACACATTAAGCAAATTATAGTGCAAAGCAGTTTCCCCCTCCCCACCCTCTTCCCAGCTCTGGGACGGATTTACTGAAGATAGGTGTGTGGCAGGCATTAATACCTCGACATGACAATATGTCACAAAGGATCTGTACCCGCCACCACAGGCTTACAGTAACATGGTATCAAAACCCCTCAGTTTCCTTGTGCTTTCTCAGTCAGTGTGTTTGCCTGATACAACTTTAAAGCAGCCTTGTAAATAAGGACCCATTTTTAGCAGCCCAGGCTCTCTGTACCCACTATGGGCCTTAAAATCGGACTCGGCATGGCTATCGTCACTTTTCATCAGGGGGCGGAAGGGGGGGATCAACTTATTTCCTGTCTCTGCCCCTGCCACGGCTTGGCCATCAGGAAGGGCTGGTATTCCAGACTGGGGCTACAAAGTGCTGGGCGTTGGGAACCCCAGGGTGCCTCCCACATGGGCCCAGGGGGGCCGGTCTGCAACCACAGAGAACAGGAAGGGACGAGGTCCAAGGATAGTGGGTTTGTAGCTGCTTCCTGAGAAGGGGTGGAGAGCCCCCCGGGTGTAGGGAGTCAGCAGGACACCCCCCGCAGCTATTACGAAGAGATGGGAGACTGCTTTTTCCAGTGAGGACAGGACGAGAGAAACTGCAGCAGCAGAGGTCTGAGCGAGATCCCCAGAAGGACTTCCTAACTCGCCGGAGTGTGTATCCGGTGTGCATCATCCGGCTGCTGTTACAGGCTGGGGGCAGGAGGGCAGGCCAAGAGCTATTACGGAGACGACAACTAAGGAGGGGAGACTGTCACATCCACAGAGGATGTGGCTGAAACTGACTAAAAACCACACGCTGTCTAGCCCTGAAGAGTTTTCTTGTCCTTTTCCACTGACGCCTTTTTAGGAGTAAACTCAGACCCGAGGATCTAGGCGGCTTGAACCTGACGCTTCCCCATTTGCGAACAAAAGGGGCGATGCTTCACCCCCGAGCACGGGGTGCTGCGCTGAGGCTGCTGGGCACCCCCAGGGCTCTCCTGTCTGCCAGCGCCAGCACAGCCGACACATCCTCTGGGACAGGTGTCTAAGAGGCACAGATGTGATTTCCAGCATCGCCTGGCTTTCCCTCTGGTCCCCACCAATGCGGGCCTTTGGTGGAAGTTGGTGGGATGCCTGCTGGAGGAGCGTGGCCTCCGGGGCAGGTGTGGAGGCCTCACAGTCCCACGCTCTCAGGACAGAGGGGATATTTTTCACTACGACAGGGCTTTACCTGTAACAGGCAATGTGTCTGAAAACATTTGATGCTTCTTTTTCTAAAATCAGCTTTAAAAACTGGTTTCTGCTCAGGACTGCTTCCGGAGCACAGACTAGTCAAGGATGGAAGGCTGTCGGAGGCTCTGGCCGGGCCTGCCCACCAGGCTGGGGGTGGGGGACGCACACTGCGCGGCTGGACCTGTGTGGGACAGGATGCCGAGATCAGGCCCCATGACCTCAAACCCCAATGTCTTCTGCTAGGACCTTTCTGGCCCCTGTGCTCTCTCCAAAAATGGCAATTTTGAGATCAGCCTAGAGGGGAGGAGGGAAATCCCTGGCCCTCCACCAGGAGAACAGGGGGTGAACGCCTTGGGCTGGTAAAGTGCATGGAGGACCTGACCACAGATGTCTTTCCTGATTTTAGGGACCTGCTACCACTGGCTAGTCTACTCTGGGGCCTGGGACCCACAGATGGCTGGGACAGCGGGGGGTGGCTTTGAGCTGGTAGGAATCGTAGGGAAACAGAGCCGGGCGGGGAGCCGGCTTGGGGGTATCTTCATCTCATCTCTGCCAGCGACTTCCTGGGGCCTCTGGATGGTTCCCCTCCCCATCTATACAATGAGGAGCGACCCTCTCAGGCGCGGGGAGGCCTTCCAGTTCTGACTCAGTTTGTATGATGAATGTGGAGTGGGGGCTGGGCCCATGGGGTGGGGGTCTCTGAGGAAGGTGGGGGTGGAATGAGGCGGTCTTTCCAGGGCCCCATGGGTAAGAGGCCAAGCCATGTGGGCAAATGTCACCTCTGTCTGGAACAGAGGTGGTCTCTGCCCCGGGGGGCCCTGGGCCCTAGGCCAGCACCGAGCATACCTGGGGACAGCTAGGTCGTTCCTGGGGGAGTGGCAGGGGACTTTCCCCATGTGGGGTGAGATGATGAGGATCTGGGCCGGGGGGCGGTGACCTGAGGGAGGTCCCCACCTATCTGTACAACGACGTGGCTGGACTAGACCCTCTTCGGAGCCGCTCGCCAGCTCTGAGCCCAGGACTCGTGGACCCCGGGCCCGCCACTGGCCTGGAGCCGAAGTCTCATTCGTGTCCGGAGCCTCCGAGCCGGGCCAGCCGTTTGATGGGAGGGTTCGTGGGGTCCTTGCCTCCGTCGGGCGCGGTCGGCTCTGACCCGGGCGGTCAGTAGGGCCGCCACACGGCCTCGTCCATGCGGCCCGGCGTGCTCAGGGCGGTGGGGGAGTTGCTGTGGCTGCCATCCGCCTCCGCGCTGTCGCTCTGGCCGCCCAGGCTGGGGTTCATGAGGTGGCCGGCGGCCACGGGAGCACTGCTGGTGCAGGAGGCCAGCATGCGGGTGGGGGAGCGGTCGCCCCCGCCGCTGCCGCCGGCCACCATGGAGAACTGGTAGGAGCCGGAGGACGCGCCGTAGTAGAGGTGGTAGGGGGACGGGTTGGCCTGGAAAGGCCCGCTCTGGTTCTGCGGGGCCCCCGGGTAGGGCGGCGGGAGGTAGGTGTGGTGGAAGCGGCTGGCGGCCGGCACACTGGCCACGCTGAGGCTGCCCGACGGCGTGGCGCTGTAGGGGAAGGCGGCCGACATGGCCCCCGGGTAATGCATCCTGGGGTCGGGGAAGCGGCTCTCGGTGAAGGTCTGCAGCGCCGGGAAGGAGCGGTCGAACTGGCGGGGGTCGGAGAAAGGGTTCAGGTCTGAGGTGCCTGGGGGACAGCAATGGGCACAGTCAGTCGCAGCCTGACACCAACCCCGGAGGCTTCAGGTTCAGAGGCCATTCGCGGGAGTCCCTGCTTCTAGGTCTGCCTCTGCCCTCGCTGCCCTGGGCTGCTTGTGGCTGGGGCCTCCCTGCCTCCGAAGCCGGCCCCCGGCTGGGAGGCAGGGGAGAGCAGGTGCGAGGACCCCAGGTGGCCCCGGGGGCCTCCCTGGGCAGATGGAGGGGGGGAGGACTCTTCCTTCTCCTCACGGAGTCCTCTTCCCAGCCTAGCAGTGCAGAGGCCTGTCGAGGGGGTGAGGGTGGCCCCCACCTGGGGAAACAGCGCTGCTGCCTTCCTCCCTCCCCGTCAATAGCCGGTAAGACCGTGGGTGCAGTCTCCAATGATGCTCTGAGCTTGGGAGCTGGGGCCTTTTACAGATAAGGAAACTGAGGCAGAGAGAGAGAGAGAGACACATTGATTTTCCTGACGTTGCACAGAAAGGACTAGAACTCATCAGGAGGCCTCTACTTGCCACTCTCTGCCGCTGGGGGTGCGAGCCTCCCTGGCCCAGGTGGGGCTGGGTTAGCTTACATGCGCTCCCACCAACATGGGGGAGTCCCGGGGCCACAGCAGCGGTCTCCCACCCTCTCATCCCTCACCCCCAGCCTGTGTCTCCAGGGCCGGCCGCAGGCCGGAGCTGACTGGTGGCCAGACGGCGTTGAGAGGCTGCCCTCCGTGCCTCAGCAGCAAAGCGAGATGGCAGCCAGAGGGGCTAAGTGGCCTGGGCCCTGCCTTCACATGGTGTCCAGCCCAGGCCCTGCCCTAGCTCCCTCAAGGATGGCTCCCCAGTAGACTCCAGGACAAGGGCATCTCAGCCTCTGCCCCCTACTTTTATAGTCACAGGCCCCCCCAAACCTCAGCATTCCAAGGGGCTTCAGGATTGAGTCATAATCCCTTTCAGTAGGAAAACTCAGGCCCAGAGAGGGTGAGGCACTTGCCTACGGGTCACACAGCACACTGGACCTGGCACAAAGTCCTAGGGTTTGGGTTCTGAGCCCCGACATGTGTCTGACAGGCAGCACAGCACTTATCCTGGGTCCTACACTTAGGAGCTGTGTGTCCTTGGGCAAAACACTTAACTTCTCTGTGCATCAGTCTTCCTACGAGAAAATAATGGCTCCTAATTAATGCATGTAAAGTGCTTAGATGGGGCACAGAGCAGAGGCCCGAGGAGAGTCTGTGCCGCTGAGGGAGCTGTGACAGCTCTGGCTCCAGGTACCCAGGAGAACTGGCCACATCAGGTCCCTGCAGGGATAGGACCCTCCCCCCAGTCCTTCCTTGTGCCCTGGCCAAGGGGGTGACTCTGGGCAGCAGTGGAAGGTGGGTGAGTCCCTGGCAGTGGTCCTGAGGACAAGTCTGTCTGGTCCTCACCCCTCTGTGCCACCCACCAAAAAGGATGGAGAGCTGCGGGTCCCCTCAGGCCTCCTGTGTCTTGTCAGGAGAGACCTGTAACATCCGAGGGCTTCCTGACTCCACTGGAGAGACGGGGAGAGCCATCTTATCAGTGGGCTCTGGTTCTGATCCAGGCTGTGAGTCAGAAGGGAACAGCACTCCCAGGCTCGAGGTGGGTGGATGTGGGGACAAGGGTCCGGATGACTGGAGCCTTCCGGAACACTCTCTATACCAGGTCTTTCGGCTGATCAGTGCTGCCTTGACATGTAAGGGGCCACCAGAGGTGCCTCGCACCCTGAACAGAGCCAAGTGTGAGGTTGACACCTCTACTCTGAGCCCAGGAAGCGAGTGGTGCCCACCTGACGGGAGCCCCCTTCTCCGAGCAAAGGAAACCTGAACAGGGGCCCCAGGATGTGACAGCAGGGCTGCAGCCTGGCAAACACGAGACTGTGCAAGGGGGGCTCGGGCCTGGGTGTGTGGCCCATGGAGACCAAGTGGCCCTCGGCGCTGCCTGGCCTGCCACTGTCGTCTCTCCTGCCTCCCTCCCGGGGCGCTGGGGGACGTGTTCGCGCTCAGCACTCCTGTGGCTGCCCGCCCCCCACCTCCCTCAGCCCAGTAGCCCCAGGAAACCCGAGTTGGCCAGCCGTGGAGCAGCCAATCCCAACACTGGAAGGAAATGTTTATTTTCTTCTCCAAATTGCCCCAGCTGCCGCATGGTGGCTGAATGAGCCCTTTGAGCTGGGAGAAGCCCCCATTGTGGGCAGCACAGCTGAGGGGGCCAAGGGCTGGGGTATGGAGGGCTGGGGGCTTCGGCACTGCGTGCTAGTGACCAGAGCCGGGGGCTCAAAGGGCACAAAGGGCATCAGGAGGAGTGGGGGGGGGGGGCGGTTCCTGAGAAGGATCCCAGGTTAGAGTGTGAAGGCAGAGGCCCATCCCACCGGAGGGAGGATGCCAAGGAAGGGACCCCAAATCTAGCCCTGCTAACACCCCTCTGTGTTGGGTACTTTCTTCTTGCCACAGTACAGATGAGAACACCGAGGTTCACAGAGGTGAAGTAATTTGCTTAAGATCACGGCCAGAGCCTGGCACAGCCAGATTCCCAGCCAGGCCCATCTGACTGCAAGGTTCATGCTCTTTCCTGGTCCTCGTCATCACGGGCCCTTCCCGCCACTTGTTCTCCAGAGACGACAAGCCCGTGGACGGAGAGAGCTGGCGGGGGCAGAGGGCCACAGAAGGCTGCTGTGGGTGTTCAGGGAGGGGCTGGGGGCCCTGCTTCAGGATGCAGGGGGAGGGGGAGGGGGCGGCCCGGGTCAGCCCCGCCCCACGCGGGCTCCAGAGTGGAGGAAGGGGTTCTGGCCTGGCCCTTAGGGCAGGCTTGCCTCAGGCTCCTGTAGGCACGCATTTCCAAGCCACATCCACACAACTGCGGCAGCGCGGAGGCAGGCTTTCCTTCCACAGGAGCTGCTGGACAGAAAGCCGCTGTTTACGCTCACCTTCTAGATCCTGGGGCTCCCTGGCTGGGCCCCAGTTCTGCCTGTAGCAGGGAAAGGCCTAGAGTGTCAGGCGACTGTACCTTGACAAGTGCTGGCCTGTGGGAGACGGAAGCATGGACAGCTTTGGCAGGGGACGGGCATGAGCCCAGAGAGCAGAGTACCTCCCGCTGCTTCTTGAGGTCAGACCCCTGTGCCGCAGTCCCCCGGGCTCAAGAACCACTGAGTGTCTCAAACTCACCAGCCCCTGGGTCTTTCCCCACCTGGGGGGCCCAGCTGGGCCAAGAAAGGAAGCTTCCCCCTCTAGAACAGAAGGGACCATCTCTTCCTAGTGAGGGACTGTCACAAGACCCTCGGCTGCTGCACTGGGCCTGGTGGCAAGGCCTCCCTTAGCGGAACACCCCAGGGAGCCCCGTCTCAGCCTGGAGTGTGAGAAGGGAGTCAGTGTGAGCCCTCACCCCGGGTTCTTCCTGCTTGGGGCCCCCTTGTCCGTGCCCTCAAAAGTGAAGCAAGTCCCTGGGGGTAGTGCTATGGGGACACTGGACCTGGTCAAAGGTGCTAAGCTTTGGAATCTGTGACCCAAGGGCGGCCCTTCATCTCTCAAGCCTCAATTGGCTCAGTGGCCAGATGGGCTCTAAGGAGGCCCTGCAGGATTGAGAAAGAACTGAGCAGCAGCTGGCCCTCCAGCCTCTGTCCAGAGCTGCTGATGGAGGGCCCAGGGGCCAGCCACACGCCATGATGTCCGGCGCCCACCCCACTGGCTCAGGGGCCTGGAGTGCAGAGCAGATACCCGTCACCCAGCCATTTACGGAGCACCTGCTTGGTGCCGGGCATCCTGTCTACTCCGCAAGGCCCCACTGTGCCCGCTGCGTCCAGCCAGGCAATGGGGACAGAGACACAGTGCGGGGCTCAGCCTAGCCGCCTGCCTCCTCTTCTGTTTGGGAGAAGTCTTTGGGGTGGGGAGCAGGGGGAGTGGATGCTGTGTGTTTTCAGGGCTGTGGCATCACTTTGCTGTTTATAAACGTTGTCTGAGTGCAGGCATGGCATTTGAACATCTGATGCCCGGGGCTGAGGCCGCCACCACCACCCCTCTTTCAGATGACATGGCAGACTCAGACGGGGGCCACACAGTATCTTCAGGAGGGACAGGTCTGTCATAGGCTCCTGGGACAAGTCATGCCCCACTTGTAATGGGCACGCTATGGGATCAATGATTTCCCTCAGGGGACCGTGAGTTCCAGGAGGGCGGGACTGACCCCCCAGGCTCTGCACATGAGCGTGCTGGATGTTAGTGTTTGCTGAGTGAGTGAGCGAGCGAGCGAGCGAAGGGCCTAGCCCAGGTCCCGCCCACAGGACCCCTCGGAAACACCTGCAGGAGCAAGTGAGCACCAGCACCCTCGTTCCGTCTGGAGTCGCAGGACCACGCCCAGCACCCCGACCGACCGCCACCCGGCTCCCACTGCCGTGCGCACCTTGGATGGGGGTCTGGGCCTGGCTGCTGAAGTGGCTGGCGGTGCTGATGGAGCCGCGGGGGCTGGGCGCGCTGGGCGTCACGCGCATGCGCAGTCGTTCCAGGTCCCCGAAGCGGTCGGGGAACGCCTTGGTCTGGTCCTCTAGCTTCTGCCGGTGCCCTGCAGAGCATGGGGACCCATCAGGATCTCGGGGGCGAAATGCCTCACTCTGCTGGGGGAGGGTGTTCTCCCTGATACCTCTGCAGGGACAATCTTCGGGTTACTCCCCACCTTCTGAGGTTCCCCAGAGACCTCCTACATGAGAATGGTCATAATGGGCTGCCCTGGGGCTGCCGTGTAGTCTGCCTCACCCCTACTGGTGGAGTAGGCGTACATGCTCTTCTACCTGGCCTGCCTCACCTCTACCTGCTGGAGTAGGCCTACAGGCTTCTCTACCTGGCCTGTCTCACCCCTACCTGCTGGAGTAGGTGTACATGCTCTTCTACCTGGCCTGCCTCACCCCTACCTGCTGGAGTAGGCCTACATGCTCTTCTACCTGGCCTGCCTCACCCCGCCTGCTGGAGTAGGCCTACATGCTCTTCTATCTGGCCTATCTCACCCCTACCTGCTGGAGTAGGCCTACATGTTCTTCCGCTTGAACCTCAACAGCCCACTGTGCAGCACAAGTGTAAACTGAGGCAGCAGGCATGTGAAATGGCTCAGATGGGCTCCCGTGGGAGTGAGGGAGAGAGCCCAGAGGCACTGCCACCCTTAACCTCCCAGCACCCCAGACCTGCTCCCTTCCTCCCCCACCTGCAAGGATAATGGGAGGTGGCCCTGCACTGGGGACAGCTGGCCGCTCTAGCCCTCAGCCATCCCGAGGTCCGTAGCACGGTCTTGTCCTCCCCGGGCCCCAGACAGAAGGGAGAGTTCACCGGAATGTGTGGACGAGGCATGGGGCCCTTGGTGGAGGGCCTGAACTCCCACCTCTGACTGGAAGCTGGGGACAGGGGACCGGGCACCTGGCTTGGGTATCACACGCGGAGAGACTGTTAGCGTCTCCCACTACTCCTCTGCCACGGCCCACCCGGGGAGGACCCCAGCCCCGTCTCCCAGGCCCCGGAGGTGTGGGCAGGGCTGCGGTGGCCACGCGCCTGTGTCTGTGGCCCTGGCCAAGGGCTCCCCTCACTGCTTCTTGAAGGACATGAGGCTTGTAGGGACCACCCCTCACCCGACACACCACATTTTCAATTATGCATTTTCCATTTCGTAAGCAACACACGAATCTCTACAAAAAGAAAAGCACTGCAGACTTACAGATAAGGCTAAGGGCTCCTTTAACCCACCCTAAACCCCTCCCCTGAAATCTCCATGTGATCGGTTTGGTGGTCTTTCTTTCCAGCCTGTTTTTGGTTTCATGTGCATGGAGACACAGAGCAAGTTTCTCACAGGACCCCGTGAACGGTCTCAGCTGGCGTATCAGTCTGTAACTGGCTTTTCTAGTAGCACATCCCAGTGGGCCACCTTGGTTTCCTGATCTGGAAAATGGGGGAGTAACCCAGCCCCACAGAAACAACAGGGCTCCTGCTGAACCTCGGGAGCCCTCCGTGGGGCTCAGCAAGTATGAGGAGGGCCGATCACTACGGCAGCACATGTCCCTGCCAGTCCCAGCCCCTGGTGGCCGCCACTCACTCAGCCGGTCCTTGAGGATGCTTAGGTTGTTTTCAAATTTCCTCTCTCTCCTTCCATGCAGTGTCCCTGTCATGGCCCAAGAACGTCCCTATTCACACCTTTGTGTCTGAGGATTTCTCCAGCGCAGACATGGGAATGGGCTGATCAGTCAGACACTAGCCACTAGCCTAACACCCGAGGCTGGCCTATTTCACTCTGATCCGCCCCGAGGGAGGAGGCCAGGCAGGCAGGGAGGCTAGGTTCTTTTGACAAAGAGAATTGTGGCTCAGAGAGGTGAAGAGGCTTGCCCGTAGTCACACAGTGAGTTGGAGGGAAGGATGTCCCGGATCTGGGACCCCTTGGAGAAGAAGCACTGGGAGGGGCTGAGGGAGGAGAGGGAAGGCTTGCCTGAGTCCTGGGGTCTGCAGTGACATGCTGGGTTTTCTTTTTTCTGTTTTTTTTTTTTTTAAAGATAGAGTGAGACAGAGCATGAGTGGGGAGGGTCAGAGACAGAAGGAGACACAGACTCTGAAGCAGGCTCCAGGCTCTGAGCTGTCAGCACACAGCCTAATGTGGGGCTTGAACCCACTAACCGTGAGATGGTGACCTGAGCCGAAGTCGGACGCCTAACTGACTGAGCCACTCAGGTGCCCCCATGCTGAGTTTTCTAAACTGACAAGGAGAGAAGGAGAGAGAAGTAGGGAGGAAGTAAAATAGAACTCCTCACTGTCCTTCCTAAGGCCTGGAAACTGGCATCCTGGGGGCCTGAAAAGGCGCAAAATGACTGTTGACCTCCCCTGGGAATGAGGGGACAGAGCTGGAGGCCTCAGAACAGGTTTGACTTCTGGTTTTCACGATGGGGATGCAGTGGATTCTAGCGGCACAGATGCCCGGGGTCCCCGCACACACACCCCTGCCTCACATGCACATCTGGGGACTCCCAGGGAAGAACACATAGTCCTGGGAGCCACTGTGGGCTTGGCAAGTTGCCAAGAAGCGGGGCACCCACTTTCTCCTCCCCAGGAGGCCCCAGGCCTGGAGCCAGAGGGACATTTGTCGGCCGGGATGACGCCCAGCCAGGCCCCCGGCCAGTGTGCAGCCTCCGTGTCCGAGATGTCAGCGTCTGGCTGGTCGTATGACCTTAGCAGCCAAGGACTGCTTCATGGAGGTGGTGTCCGGGGGGTGCCGTAGGGCTCAGCCCTGCCACGCCTCGGAAGAAACGCGGCCACTGAAAGACAGCAGGGTGAGGTGGGCCAGCTGCAGGGCCAATGAATTCAGAATAGTCTCAACAGGCAGGAAGTCAGGTGGCCAGATAGACGTGGAGCCTGTGGGCTGACCTAACAGCAGCTGGGGTGCGAAGATTCTGCATGTCTCAGTCAACCACAGGCTCGACGCGGGCCAGCGGGGCTATACGGGGCCTCGTGCAGGACCTCAGGCCTCGTACCGACCGTCACTATGGAACGAAGCCTGTTCCTGAGTCACGCCATGTACGCAGCGTTTGTGGTTGCTCCCGCGGCCCGGCGGAAGGAGGGCAGGGCTCACAGCTGGCCCGGGTTCAAGGATGGGCCCAGCCACACTGCAGCGTTAGTGGCCCTACTCACGTCACATGCCTGTTCCCGCGCCCTGGGCCGCAGAGTCCCCGTCGTGGCCGAACAAGGTCTATAAACGCCCTGCATCTACGTGGGTCACTGCTATCCTGACCATCATTTCTACCCCAGCTCTCGCCGAGGGAGGGCGGGGTTAGCACCCCCACGTCAGAGACCAGGACACTGAGGCCGCGATGGTGAGCCTGGGACCGAAAGCCGCGACAGCAGAGCCATACCTGGAGTGCAGATCCCTGAGACCAAATGCCTTGCCACTTCCCTTTTTGCTCCCACTGTACAGATGGGGCTCCTGAGGCTTCCAGAGGAGTCCTCTGCTATGTGGTTGGTTTGGGATGGGGATCAGGTAATGTGGCCCAAAGGCACGCGCTCGGCCACATGCTCGGCCTGCCAAGGCTGCACTTCCTGAGCTCGGGAGTTCTAGGAGAGCTTTGGGAACTGCTTCCTGGTTGGTGGGGCCTGAGGGCAGGGCAAGGGCAAGCTGGGGGGGCTCCACGCTGCCCAGGCGCCAGGGAGTCTCAGAGCCACAGGGCTCCGGCCTTCGCACTTGGAAGCAGAACGGAACTTCCTATGCCCGAGGAAAGACGGGCCCACAGAATAGACCTCTTTCATGTGGCCACCCACAGCGGGAGCCAGCGGGGGTGCTTGGCCTCGCTTGCTTGGTCACCTGGGGCCCAGCCCTTTCACACTGTGCCTCAGTTTCCCCTCCGCACAGCTTGCTCTCTGGGGCCCCTCCAGCTTTGAGAGTCTCTGTCTTAAGATTACCATGGTCAGCCACCGGCCATACCAGGGCCCTCAGAAGAAAAGGGGGCAGGGCTGCTTGCTCCACGGGTCACCCTCACTCCCTGCCCACCCCCATGCTGCTGCTGTTCTCAGGGTTTCTCAAGTATGCTCGGCCTCTCACACTTCAGGGTCACAGCTCAGGCACAGCCCCTGCCAAGAGTGCTTTCCTGTCCTTTGGGGCTCCCCCGGAGAGCCCCTCTTGCCCTCCTGGAAGACCCCTTGTCCCCGCCGCACAGAGCCTCTGCAGCACCCTTGTAGGCTAAGAGCAGCAGCTTGCAGCGCCGGAAATAAAAACAGCATCCACCATCTAAGTGGTTGGCGTGTATTGCCTTGTTTCGCCCTGTGTCTTCTCACTGTCCCTACTTTACAGGTGAGAAAACTGAGGCTCAGTGAGGGTCAGTGACATGTCTGAGGTCACACACATGGCTTGAGGCCACCTTCTCTTCCTGGAGTCCATCATGAAAGAAAGGAGCCTGGGTTTTGATACTCACGGGCTCAAGGTAATGGGCGTTAGGGCCCAGCCCAGGGCCCAGAGTGACTCTCTGTAGGCCCAGGAGGACGGGCCTGGGAAGAAGACGAGAGGGTCTCAGTGGACTCCACCAGGCGCCCCGCCCTGCTCTGCAGCTCAGTGCTGTCCCACTCTTTAACTACGCTTTGCTCTGACCCACCCACCAAGTCCCTCTCCCGCTGTGGGCCTTAACTGCCACAACTGTAAAGTGGTTTTCACACTGTCTGACCCCTGAGGTGAGGACGAGCTGTAGGACAGACCCTAAGTGTTTAAGGTAAAGCACTTTGCAGGGAGGATGGCGACCCCACCGTGGCCGCCACACCTGTCACCTTCTAGTAGCTGAGCTCAAATCACTGCCGGCTCCTGCAATGTGCCTCAATTAGCACTGTGAGCCTCATTTATAGGAGGGGAGGTTCCAGCAGCCCAGGCCTGGATGAGACAGCTCTCACCCACTGGTGCTTGTGGGTGGCCACTTTCTCCCTCTGGGCCTCAACTGTCTCATCTGTAAAATGGAGAGCATACTGGGACTCCCAAGGGCATGGACAGGCTGCAGGAATTAAACAGGTGGTCTGGCCTTGGCCCTCGAGGAAGGCGTCCTGGGATCCACAGCTCGTCCT